GATAGCATGCGTAACTATCGACACGCGCCTTAATACCTTGTTCCTTATTATAGTCGAAATAGTGCACTTGTTGATCACGTCCGTGTCCCTGAAAGACGGGCGTGTTACAAACGTTACTTGATAGAAGCTACAAAGTATGTTTGTATGTTTTTTGTTTAACGCCGTACTCAGCAATATCCCAGCTATTATAGGACGGCACTCTGTAAATAATTTAGTCTGGAACAGACTATCTAGTGATTGACATCATGAGCATCGATCTACGCAATTGGGATACGATAACATGCATCAACCATTATCAAGCAAGTTATGTACATGTATGTATACAGGTAGGAGGCAGTGTTTATACAGTAGAGTAGATATCAGATGTAGTTACACTGGAGTGGAGAAGCCTGTTATGTACACACAAGGGTAGTAAACATAATGATCAACGAAGTCAGTAATATAAACAAAAGGGTGAAACCAGTAATATAAACAAAAGGGTGAAACCAGTAATATAAACAAAAGGGTGAAACCAGTAATATAAACAAAAGGGTGAAACCAGTAATATAAACAAAAGGGTGAAACCAGTAATATAAACAAAAGGATTATGACTGATTGTCCTGATGGTTCTAGTTTGTAGCTGGATGGTGGTTTGTTGATGTTGATGTAATTTTCAAGAGAAGTCACACCATTCAGAACACAATTAAAGCCACTAGACAACCACCATCCAGCCATAAACTAGAACCACCAGGGGCAGTGTAACACATTCCGTGCAATTGCGGACAGGCATATATTGGAGAAACATCTAGGCCCCTCAAAACCCGAATTAAAGAACATCAAAGCTCAGTCTCCAAAGATGACTCCTAATCAGCTCTATCAGAACAAACCAGTGACAACCCAAGCCACAGCATCCAGTGGGATAAAGTCAAACCCTCACCACCAACCTCAAAATCAGAAAACTACAAGCAGCCATATCAGTTGCAGGTTACCTCACCAATACTGGACTTATAACAGGCTGGATTCATACAGCGAGAATATTGTGAAGTGCAGCGTTAACAGTTAAGGAGAAGTAAATAAGCATAGTGTCGTAACTGCTTTCGGGCGTCATGAGCGACCCTAATACAGTTACTCAATGTATTGCCGTTCCTTGTCCTCGTGGTCAATTACGCCAAGACATTGCCACTCGCCTTGTCCTTCAAAAATAGCGGAAAAACTTCTACTTTCTGTGCGTCGGTCCACTTTTTATAGTTTCCAAAATGAAGGAATCGGTCAAGCCATTCCGCAGCATGGGTCGTGTCTCTGCCAGTGAAATGTTCTGGCATCAATGTCGAATCTCCCATATTGAAGTCAGGGGGTGGATTTTGTACGTCGGGGCCTGAGGACGAATTTAATGAGGAAACGTCAGGGAGAACACAAGCGTACTGATGTAAAAGCTCGTCGGTAGAGGGTGATAAGTCCAAATTCTGTTCAGAAAGAGGAGGAGAGGGGTCCTGGGGAGGAGTGGGCGGTAGGGGTGGTTGGGGGGGCGGTTGAGTTATGACAACTCAGGGGGGAATTTGAGAAAATTGAACCACTAAGGAGGCGAGCTGGGGCAAGACGGTCACCTGACGGAGATGAATCAGAATTTGGTGTATGAGACATTACCAGCCCAACTACACCATGCAAGTCCAGAATACCCTATCCATACGTCAAAACCGTACCATCAAACGTAAGTCTGGGTGGGAAGACGGAATTGAAGGATGGGAACGACAATACGAAAAACAAAGAATGGGATCGTCTTAAACATTTTGTTCAAGCAGAAACCCGCATACTCCATCACGTTGTAACTGCTTTCGGGCGTCATGTGCGACCCTAATACAGTTACTAAATGTATTGCCGTTCCTTGTCCTCGTGGTCAATTACGCCAAGACATTGCCACTCGCCTTGTCCACCGCTCCTCGGCTCCGTCAAGGAGTGATGGGTCTCACATATACTCACATAGTTTTACTTACTCTCAGCCCATTTATCAATACAGGACAGGATCATACCGACCAGACTCGTCACAAACTGGGGAAACTTAGAACGATCAGGATTCGACTCGATCGATTGCAAACCGCGCTCTCCTCTCCTAATATTGAAGGTATCATTTTATAGTGTTCGAGCCTATCCTGTCCTTGTCACATGTCACAATACCTCCTTTTGATTCGTTAAAAGTTAGATCTGACCATGAACTCATGTGTGTCGTAATCGGAAAAATACAGAAGCCTACGTGCCATATTGCTCATCTCTCTATTGATTTTATGACACGCATCCGGAAGCTCCAAATGAAATATACCTTGAAACTCTCTATTTGTTTCATTAACTAATGGACGATAGCCAGGAACCAATCCAATGATAATTATGAAATGTCCAGAATACACTTGTGATAAATGTGAAATGTCTTTTATCTATCGATTCCTTTCAAACTAAAAGTTCTGTCACAAACTATATCTAACACAACTCCTCAATGCAGCTATAATGGTTTTATTTGTTATCATTTTCTAATGTTTTTGAGATGCATTTTTAACAATAGTTAAATGACTCGTGTCTTTGGGTATCCAGTGTTCAATTTGTTTGAGATTCGAGTATTCCAGTTTTCATGGTCTGGTGCCACAACATTATAAGCCAAGGACTCGGACGGGACAAAGGGGAAGTTATTCGATTGTGTGTGTGTGTGTGTGTGTGTGTGTGTGTGTGTGTGTGTGTGTGTGTGTGTGTGTGTGTGTGTGTGTGTGTGTGTGTGTGTTAGGAGTGTATATTATTAAATTATGTGTCTTTTATGACAGTGGCTTAGGGTCCTGCCACTACTGGCGTCTTGGACTAAAAAGCAACAAAAACAAATATACATTATGAGTTGTGGAAAATGAACAAATATTTAATGAATTATGTATCAGGTCAGCCAAATCCAACACGTTACATGTGTTGTGAAGTATTGTCTTGTGGTCTCATCAATATCTTATGATGATTAGGACTAATTTCCTCCATAAACTGACAAACTGAGGTCTTGCAAGTATGTAAACAATTGAAGACAAGTGTACTGCAAGTATTGTCATGTGGAATATTCAATACTTTTATTTTATTTTAAGTCCTTTCCAATTTGGCCCATGGGCATTATAAATTGTAAGATGGTCATTAGTTAGTGAGGCGTCGACCATTACATTTTCATGTTCATATTTGTTCCCGAAAATACTTATAATTATAAATATTAATAAAATATACTGTCTCAGATTGGTCACCCCCTTGCATGCGTAGAAGCGGAAAGAAAACTAACAATCCCAGCCGCCATATCTACTGACTATTACGCTGTCAATTCATATATTCGCATATACTCAACTTACTTTGGATTGTAGGAATTATCTAGTTTCCATCTGACTGTAACTGTAAGGCTTGAATGCCTGTAGCGCAGCGTTGTAGCATAAAGTTACTGATGTTTTAGCTGTATATGTGTGATTGAACAATCGTTGTTTTAACTACGTCCATGAATAATTTCTCAACGGCCCAGCTGCTAGACAGAAATGTAACGTCAGTAGTTCATCATCAATAAGAACTGTTATAGAGGAAACAAAATCAATCAATCTTGCATTCCTTAAACTTGTAGGTGAGGTGAGGTGAAATTGGGTTTAACGTCGCGTCCAAGATTATTGCACTTATATAGCGACGTGCATGCACGTGTATGTGTGTGTGTGGCTGCTTGTACTAGTCCGGACTGATGCCGATTTATAGTGCTAGCTCACTGAGATACCATGCCGCAGTTTAACATGAATACCCCACTCAGACACAGTATACTGACTCCGAGCCGACCAGTCCTTGTTTTAGCCCCTTAATGCCGAGCGCCAGACAGGGTAACAACAAGTACAATCTTTTAACGTCTTTTTGTATGACGCGGCCGGGGATCGAACCCCGCACCTTCCGCTCTCCGGGCGGACGCTCTACCACAAGACCACGGAGGCGGTCCTTAAACTTGTAAGCAGAAACTGAACCGCCAAATGAATGTTACTGATAGGCAAAGAGTTGGCTGCTTCCTGCGAAGTTTCAAGTCAACAATCAGCTTTTGCAAACCAAAAGACGTCTTGACAACTCGCCTGCCATATAGAAAATATACTTTCCTTGCAATGTGTTGTCACACGCATTTTAAATGTTTAGCTTTCAATACGTTGTTATTTCTGAGATAAAGATATATAGGGTCTACATTATTATCAATTATTTAAAAAAAACCAATTGCTGTGTTACATGTAACTAGTATGAACTGATTATATTCCAGACAAACAAAGTAAGGGATCATGAATATGTTTGGGGATAATTTTACGAAATCGTATTAGTATTCACCTAAAAATATACCTAAAAATATACCCCCCTAAAAAAAGGAAATATTCGTGATCCCCTGCTGTTTATGCTCAGTATATGTCAGCAATATGGATCTGCTGGCTTCAGAGAAAATAATCCGTTTAACTTGATAATTATATTTCTTAATAAATATACCAATTTTGTAAAAGTATTTTATCATGGATCGTCATTATTGTGTGAATCATACTTCTAAACTGGCAGGTTCAAGTCTTCAGTCAGTTTGGAGAAAGTAATACACCCTCCTAACTTGGAGAAGTTACAAGTTAACACCCTCATAAACTGGAAGGTTCGTATCTTCAGTCGGTTTGGAGTTACAAGTTAACACACTCCTCATCTGGTAGGTGCATGTCTTCAGTCGGTTTGGAGAAGTTACAAGTTAACACACTCCTCAACTGGTAGGTGCATGTCTTCAGTCGGTTTAGAGTTACAAGTTAACACATTCCTCAACTGGTAGGTTCATGTCTTCAGTCGGTTTGGAGATGTTACAAGTTAACACCCTCCTAAACTGGAAGATGTCTTCATTTGGTTTGGAGAAGTTACAAGTTAACACGCTCGTAAACTGGAAGGTGTCTTCATTTGGTTTGGAGTTGACAGGCAGCTGGTGATGGCGGACACTCACTACAAAATATTGTATTTTCTTCAGCTAACCCCTTAAAACTATGGATGTTCAAGAGGAAGGTACTGTTTTATCCACACATGACCACACCACTAAGGTAAGATTATGTCCTGTCATATCATAATTCATGTAAGCTGTAATAAACTTCATGTGTCTGTCTGTGCAAATAAATAAAAGCAACAAAAACATTGCCATTTCTAAAGAAATAATCCAAAGACTATATCCCAATACGCATGATTATTTTTAATCACTATCAACAATTGAGGATACCAGGAGTTCGCGAAAAGGTATGTCAATTGTTCACCTGAAAAAACAACCAAAAACATGTTGCACATTTTACAAAAAGACTCTGCAGTTATGAACAAAGCATAGCGCTTTTCCTAAATATATACTGCTTGCACAAATATAACAGTAACAAAGAATACAATTCTATTACAGGGAGATAATCACGAAAATCATGAAGATGTGAATCTGAGGAAAACACAATGGTCCAACAAGTTTCAGGGCATCCTTGCTCTTCTCGGATTCTCAGTGGGTCTAGGCAACCTGTGGAGGTTCCCTTATCTCTGTCAAAGGAACGGCGGTGGTAAGACTTTTATGAATGTGCGGCTTAATCTCTAAAATGTAAAAAATATTTGTTGAGGTCATATACCTAACAAACAAGCGTCCCTATAGTCTTATCAATGAAACAAGAACTGGCACATTAGTTTTATCCTTGTTTATTTCACAGGGGCGTTCCTGATTCCGTATGTCATCTCGACAGCTGTGGTAGCCGTCCCACTCTTTATTCTTGAAGTTGCTCTCGGTCAGTTTTCAGCCCAAGGACCAATCAAGGTTTGGGCAATATGTCCACTGATGAAAGGTAAGGCCACACCACGCAGAGTGGAAAGTATACCTTTAGTGTTTAGGTTAATATTTTGACAGTGATTACGTTTCAGTAAATAATATCGAACAGCATACAAAGAAGCTGCCCCGGAATGTGTGTACTTCCCAAATATTTGACATAATATGAGTTTGGAATTCTAATAACCCATTTGACGTTGTAAATACATTTCCTGTGATGGGGTTTTACTCTGTTCACAGCTCTATATGATGATGTCATTATTAGTTTCCAAGACACAAGTTTCTCTATGCGAATGAAACTTTGTATTTCTATTTTCTATAATACAAAGGGGCGGTCGGGTAGCCTAGTGGTTAAAGCGTTCGCTCGTCACGCCGAAGACCCGGGTTCGATTCCCGACATGGGTACAATGTGTGAAGCCCATTTCTGGTGTCCCCCGCCGTGATATTGCTGGAATATTGCTAAAAGCGGCGTAAAAACCATACTCACTCACTCACTCACTCTATGCGAATGAAACTTTGTATTTCTATTTTCTATAATACAAAGGGGCGGTCGGGTAGCCTAGTGGTTAAAGCGTTCGCTCGTCACGCCGAAGACCCGGGTTCGAAGACCCGGGTTCGATTCCCGACATGGGTACAATGTGTGAAGCCCATTTCTGGTGTCCCCCGCCGTGATATCGCTGGAATATTGCTAAAAGCGGCGTAAAACATACTCACTCACTCACTATAATACAAAGGTCAGTGCCGTTTATGTCACAGGTCAGTATCATTGTTCAGGTTATTGTAGAAAACTTAGGTGCATACATTAAGCTTGTTGCAGTTGTTGCATCTTAAGTAATGTACTGAACAAATCAAGGTGGTGATAAGGTCGGTATCAGTTAAATGTTCAGTGGTTGTGTAATTCAGATATGATTTATTGATACCTATAGAGTAATGATATATAATTCATGTTACTCTGATTAGTTGCCCGGAATACATTACTGATGTAACCGGATGTCACCCGATCTCATCTCAATAAGCAGGGCCCCAACGAAGCCGGTTGTAGTCGTCACGTCTCTCCTCCAGCAAAATTCTAAAACTATTGCATCATAAGTAATTAATAGAGTGAATTCTAACAACTCTTTTCAGTCCTTAAACCCTTATTTAAGTGTTACAGTTGTGTTTTTCCAGATCATAAGGCAAATTTTTTTGGGAAATGCAGGATTCTTCTTTATATGGCTAGAAGGGACTTCTTGCCAGAGTTTGAAAATCAAGACGGGCAGACATGTTTCTAATATACCCCATAGACCTAATAGAACTCATCAGTAGGTGTTGGGCGGTAATTACCCTGAGGCTCAGATACAGTTTCCTTTTCAGAATATTGTGGATTTTATAATTACATTTGTTCAGATTTATCCACTGTTATGATGTTAAAGGGAAGAACATTTTGTTGTTGTTGACATTTTTTTATTCCTTTCAAAGGGTTGTACATCAGGTTCCAAGGTTGTACAATAGGTTTAATCAATTGTAGTGAACATACGTTACATGGATGTACATTTCTTGTGATATAAATATATCAAATTGTAATAGACCATTGTTAGCTGAAGAATATTGATATGCTGGTTGATTCTGGATCTAATAAGAATATCATTTCATCATTTACTTATGATATGTTATTCAGGACATTTCCACTTGCTCATACAAACAGAAGGTGCGAAGGTTATGAATAGGAGAAACCTTTTATCTGTTTGGGCTGAAGAACAGTTTTAATAATTGGGAGGTACCAAACATAAGAGACCGAGAACAATGGGGAGTCGGAGGACTTGGTACTTTGGATGCATGCGTAACATTTCGGATGTGAGGTCCACATATTTGCCTCGTTCTTCCTGAATCTTGTCAATCACATTAGTGTCAAAATGGACAGATTAATTCAATAATATGAATGATTTCATAGGATTTATGAAAATGACAAGGCCAGGGTTGTTGGCCTGGTTAGGTCTGAGGCTTTATACGGGCCTATTCCAATGAATTTTGTATGTATCATTTCCCATAACGTCTTCTACATATTCTGGGTCATACCCTGCATGGACCTCTGTGTCAAACCACAAGCACGGCAAAGTCAGTAATAAAATGATCGAGCCACTCCATCATGTCACTTAAGATACTATGTTTCTGCCACAGCTCGGAATCCAATGACAATGTGTTGGTCTCATTAAATTCATTGCATAATGTACACTCATATATACATTCCAATGCAATATTACACACTGACGGTTTCGAGTGGGAAATGACTGGTCTTGTGCAGCAAACTGCAGCAAACTGCAGGAAACTGCTCAACACACTGCACAATATTATCATTATTATTATTAATAAAAGTATTTAAGAGATTTGGAGATTTGAACCTGAAACTGAACAAATCTAAGTGGAAGCTGGGATTAATTTGAATTGAGGTGTTACGACATGTCACCTGTGATGACTAGACCTCAGTTAAAGAAAAAGCAGGCTCAAGATTATGTTTCAGAGCTTCGCCTATTTGGGGGAAATTAAAAATTGATGCAGTTTATGCAAAACTATACTGAATGTTTTGAACCACTCTAAAACAGGATATGAACTGGAGTTCCATGGATAGGAGGTTCAGATGCTAAGTCAGCGTTTGTTAATTTGAACAAAGCTTTTGTGTAAAAAACTTCCGTGGCATACTACGATCTGTGTGTGGCATATGCTCAATGAAATAAAAGTCCAAAGACTTCTGAAATAGGGCCTATTGCTGAATATCATGCTGCCACAGACCTTGCCCCTATATATCACTTATTTTGACTCACTGTACTTAAATGATAGTAAACCTAATCCTGTGTATTTCATTATACATGGTTAATTGTTCATTGATCTTGTGTGGTTATTTCCTTATTTCAAAATTTAATTCTGTGTGTGTCGATTTCTGGGTTATGCAGTTTATTAGTTTCAGATTGGGTGAGGTGAGGTGAGGTGAGGTGAGGTGAGGTGAGGTGAGGTGAGGTGAGGTGAGGTGAGGTGAGGTGAGGTGAGGTGAGGTGAAATTGTGTTTAAGCGTCAAGGATTATTGCACTTATATAGCGACGTGCATGCACCTGTGTGTGTGTGTGTGTGTGTGTGTGGCTGCTTGTACTAGTCCGGACTAATGCCGATTTATAGTGCTAGCTCACTGAGATACCATGCCGCAGTTTAACATGAATACCCCACTCAGACACAGTATACTGACTCCGAGCCGACAAGTCCTTGTTTTAGCCCTTTATGCTGAGCGCCAGACAGGGTAACAACAAGTACCATCTTTTAACGTCTTTTGGTATGAAGCGGCCGGGGATCGAACCCCGCACCTTCCGCTCTCCGGGCGGACGCTCTACCACTAGACCACGGAGGCGGTCGTTTCACTTTGGGAATCAACATGTAACACTTTGTCATGCATTTGTTACATATTGTCAGTAAAGTTTCCGTCACGAACTACTTACATCAAGAACATTCCTCACGTTTTTTCATTTAGGTGTTGGTTTTTGCATACTGTTCGTCACCTGCATCGTCGTCCCGTACTACAGCATGGTGTTTGCCTGGGCCCTCTACTACCTGTACAGCTCCTTCTCTACCGTCCTGCCCTGGACCACGTGTGACAACTCATGGAACACCCTGCAGTGTACGAATGTAGGTGCTAAGACAACATATACAGACACTAATAATACCGAATATACAAGTGAAGACATCCGGCGTGGAAACAGCAGCAGCAAACAGGAGTCTCCACGCACGTTTGGTCATACATCGACAGAAGAGTTCTGGCAGTGAGTCTTTACCCAGTATCCTTATTTCATATAGGGGCACAGGTGGCCCAGTCGTCTAAGGCGCCGCGATTCGCTGTGCAGTCGCGTCCCTTGGGCAAGACAGAAACCTATGATTGTGGGTTCGAATCCCGGTTCGCCCCGATTATGTTTCTAGGTTTGTCAGCACCATACCCGTGCTCGTGGGTTTCACCGAAGTGGTAAACGTCTGAGACCTGCATCACTTCGGGCTTTCCTCCCACATTAAGCTGACACGCCGTGATATAACTGGAATACTGTTAAAAGCGGCGTTAAACCCAACTCATTCACTCACTCCTTATTTCATATAGTTTATGAAGATGTGGTCCGAGTTTACAGAGTGTCGGCACATGGAAACCTCAGTGTAAGTGTCACTGAATGCCATCAACCAGAAGTTTTTAATCATTAAGTCGCATGTTTTCGTATTTACTCACCAACTTCTACAATGCCGATCAAACAGTTTGAAAACCTTGTCAAATGCATTTCCATGAAAACACACTGAATCCTGATTTCTTTTCGAATTTTATTTATTTTAATTTTCTACCTGTCCATGTACCCTTTAAAGCAATGTCTGTCCGTCTGTTAGTCCATGAGCCCGGATGTGTAACGAGAGAGGCCAAATGATTTGGTGACATTAGATTTTGATGGTTCACATTGTGTTGCATTGATGTCCGGTCATCTAATGTCCGTGCCTGAGGCGTGTCAGACCCCTGTGGTCATAAATTTAAATCCATGGTTCGACATGATTCCTTGTTTAACACTAAGTCAGTACTCTTGGGTTTAATTCAATAAAAGTGGTAAACATCTCAGACGTGGATGGGTTTTCCGCTCACTTGAAGCTGAGATCGAAGCCCATTTCAGGTGTCCCCTACCTTGATATTACTGAAACATTGCTAATTTGCTACATATAATAAGACATTAGCGTTGTATATCTAATTACAATTAACAGACGCCACATATTACACATATGACTATTTGTGGAACATTATTTCATGGTGAATGGTTAAATAGCGGTTCCAAACTACTACTTTGCAAAACGAACATATTTCTTAAACGTTTCTCTTCACTCATAAGCAGCAGTATCTCTGCGTTGTACACATCAAATATTATGAGAAAGGAATAGAAACGGTGTATATAAGACCATATGCTATTATATCCACAATGCCTATAATTGAATGAGATAAACATCTTATATCACAAACCTTATTCCCTACTCATTATGTATACGAGTATTGTCTGACTGATTTGAATCTGAAAAAACTTAATTGCACTTAAGCCGACTTATTGTCATTACACCAAAAGAGTTTTTTCACTCAATTGAAATATTGTTTTGATTAAGAGAAAGCTAACCATTAATTTTAATTATGAAAACAACTAAACTTCTGAACTAAACTGGAAAAAACAGATAATCTCCATGTTATCTTTCATGCCAGACGATGCCAAGCATCAAAATGACTTCCTTTGTCTGTAGGCGAATTAAGGTGACGGCATTTTAATTACAGTAAACTACGGTTATAACGAACTCAAAAGGACTACTATTTTTAGTTCGTTATAACCGTAGTTCGTTATAAGCATATATACAGTATAACTACAGCAAATAGTCGGGACTAAAAAGTAAGTTCGTTATATCCGTCAGTTCGTTATAAGCGTGTTCGTTATAACCGTAGTTTACTGTATGTGGAAGAACCATATTCCAGAAATATTGCTAAAGAAGTCAGCGTTAATCCCAATCCACTTACTTCATCCATCCAAGGTACAAGGCTCTAGGTGTTTCGTCAGGGATAGATGACCTGGGGGAAATGCAACCACATCTTGTCATCTGTTGGTTCCTCACGTGTGCTATCATCTTTCTTTGTACGATGAAAGGAATCAGATCTCTTGGAAAGGTATCATTCACCCGCTGTCAACTTACGATGAAAGGGCATGAATTGTCTTTGAGTGGAATCTAGGAGTATGATAACCCAAACAAGCTTTAAATGCTACGTATAAACAACTTCTTTCTCATGTTCGTTTCGACGATATAAATGTCTCGATGACGCTCCCAACAGAGAATTCATTTGCCCTCTATATATTAGCAGAAGACAACATAGAAAATAAAATATAGTCATCTCCCCTAATTGTTTCTCATGTCATTAACACATTTCTTATTTATATCCATCCTGTATCTGTTCATTGTTATTGGTGCCACTGTATTAATATCTGACAACAGGTGGTGTATGTGACAGCGTTGATGCCGTACTTCCTACTGCTGGTGTTGTTGGTGAGGTCGTGCACGATGCCGGGTGCTGTGGATGGGATTCTCTTCTACCTAACCCCCAACTTCAACCTCCTTCAGCATCCTCAGGTACTCGGAAATGTGCACTACAGTAAACTACGGTTATAACGAACTCAAAGGGACTACTACTTTTAGTTCGTTATAACCGTAATTCGTTATAAGCATATATACAGTATAACTACAGCAAATAGTCGGGACTAAAAAGTTAGTTCGTTATATCCGTTAGTTCGTTATAAGCGTGTTCGTTATAACCGTAGTTAACTGTATATAATAATTGCAATGATGTTATTAGTGTCGGGAACGTGCTAATCATACACACAAGCCTATGTATGTATATTATATCATCATAACGTTTAAAGTGGACAAATAAGTATGTTGTAATTGATTTATCTTCAGGTGTGGTTAGAGGCCCTGATGCAAGTGTTCAATTCGGTTGGTACTGCCATGGGAACGGTAATCGTCATGGCGAGCCACAATTCATTTCATTCAAATCTTATAAGGTAAAGTTCCTTTCCACTTTTTCTCATGAAAGTGATTTTCGTAAATGGCTGTAGGAACTTAATTATCTAATCACCACTCGCCTTTTGGTGAAGATTTAAATGTTCTGGTGGCCTGAAGATGGGCCCTGGATGTTTTTCTAAAGATATTAATAAACAGAATGTAAACAAACACACAATTTGCAATTCCGATTGTTTCTTACACAAGTTATGATGAAATGTTTAAGTTTTCTTTTTCCCAAAAAGAGATAAACTTTTGATAGTACGCGACATATTCGGTAAAATCGTAATGTTGCGGTCATGTTAATACAGCCTTACATAGTTTGTACTTTGTTTATAAGAAAATGTTTTAATGCAAAAAGAATTAAAGGTATGTTTCGGAACACCATTTGACATTGACATTAACGACAAACAATACCTTATAGCCAAATGCATAAAGGTTATGGCCTTGTCATTTCTATTTCAATATGGGGAGGGGATCAGATAACCCACCTACACTTGT